ACACACACACACACACACACACACACACACACACACACACACACACACACACACACACACACACACAAGGTAACTTCGTGGAGGCATAGAATGCTTTTCTTGATTAATTTCCATGTCTCTTTTTGCGTCTGTGTATGTGTGCATGTGGGTGTGGGTGTGGGTGTGAGTGTATGGGCATGCAATATCAAAAGGTGTACGTCCCAGATCATGAGGGTTAAACACCTATTTGACTCGGAGCAGGGCAGCACTAGGATTGAGTGTTGCCGGACACACATGGCATGTATGAAATTATATGTGCGAAGAGTATGAGGTTTGATGCAGATGTAAAAATGTGTTACAACTTTTATGAAGTCTGTCAAGCGACCGTTTTGAGCGTCTTGAAGGACGATTGCGGCGACCTGATTCTCCGGCAAAATCAAACAAGGAGAGAGCGAGAAGTAGGCTCCCTCGTCCGCCATGCCGAAATCTGCCAAAGAATCTCTTCATCACACACACTCACACAAAAAGGGCTAGGCCTCGACGACAGTTTTTCTTCGTCTATTGCATCCATCTCTAGTCCTCTCCACTTTTGGCAAAGTAATTTGCTTGCATCACCTGATGCTTCCCCTCACACTGTTTATGCTATTTATGATTTTGTGTATGTGTGTCTACACATTTATTAGTACTTTTCTCCATGTCTGACGGTGCATTTCTGTGCTCACGTTTATTTAGGCGTGTGTTTTTGTGTGTTGGTACACATTACGCGAGTGTGTTTTTGTGTTTATATGAATGTGTGTGCGTGCGAGGGAGGTTGTTAGTGCCAATGTGCACATATTATTGTCACAACTTTAAGATTCAATTCTGCGAATTTGTGCTCACTTTGCATCCGTTCCCAGCCCAGCAACCATAAGTGTGCCTGCATGTTCTAGCAGTTCAGACTGTACCTTGAAGACGAGAGGGGCCATGGTGGGGCTGCGATGAAAAGGCGAATCATTCCCCCCAACTCTGACGCGATGATGTCCTATTGGCAAGCTCTAAACTGTTAAGAGAACTGTATTTCCTGCGACAACATTTCGCCGCATCATTTAGCCCCAAACAGGACACAGCCTCGATCGAGTCCGTCCGGGCAAAGAGGGTCAAAGAGGGTCAAAGAGGGTATCATACCTCTCGGCTCCAGCCACCCTGTCGTGTGTAGTTGTCTCACAATTTGATTGGGTTCGCGCGCCACTTCTCGAACAAACACGAGGATTACGTGTCCCATCATATGCTCTTTGCTTGTGGAGGTGAGTCCTGTTGCT